ATTTTTCTCAACCATTTTATTAAAGATTTCAAGTAATTATGGGTGCGCCCTATTTCTCTTATTAATTGTATTTTGAATTAAAATTTGTACAATGGATATTAATTGCTTTTAAATCTTTAATCCTGGACTAAAGTACGAATTAATCAAGTAAATCTTAGCGCAACACATGGTCACATGCCAATAACCCTCAAAAGGTTAGTGTTTTAGAGAGCGGAAAACCATGCACAATTTATTTTTTTCGAATTCTTTAAGCTTCCGGCCAATTATAGAATTTTTAATAATTTTCAAAACGGAAATTTCAGGCCAATTGAAATTCATTAATATTTATCCAAAAAGCTCTTGGTTGGTTTTGAAAGCCATGCAAACAGTTGGTGGGTATCATCAGAATATTATGCCAAGATCGGTTAATGGCAACTTGGTAATTAAACTACTATGGATAGAATTCAAAAATTATCAGAATCCATTTTTCTTTGTTAAATTTATTTTTTTGATTCAAGGCATGTTAAAAAGTTGACATATATGATATGAGGAAAATCTATTTCTGGAGTCTCTAAGTTTTAGGCCTCATTCGTTTTGCGGATTCGAGTTTTTAATTCGAATTCAAATGTGATATTTTTTAAAAAATTTTAACTGTAATAAAAAAAATTAAATGTGATATTTTTTAAAAAAATTTAATTCTAAAATTTTAAAATTAAAAATTCAAATCGGTAAAATGAACGAAATTTTAATTATTACGTCAAATGCTCAAAAAACGGTTGATTTTGAGAGAGATTTTAAGTCAATACTTTACGACGTGGAAAGTTTTGGTCTGCTAATTATTTGTTAGTACTAAAAAGGTATCGCTTGTAATGATTGTCGGCTGTGTAACAATATTTATGCTATTACATTCTACATTTGACAATATTTATGTTGCCCGTTAGGATTTATGATAAGGGAGGAATTAAAAACAATATGTCCGAGAGACACTAACACATGAGTGCATTTTAATAGTTATTTTAATATTTAATCATGAAATGAATAAATATTATTATTTTAGTCATGTAAAATAGATCAAAAGGTCATAATCAATTGATCCTAGTTGATCAGAAAAAATTTATGACAGTGATCATAGACATAAAATATTATGTCATGTATCAATTGTGATTAAAATATATATTTATTTTCATAATTTGATCATTACCGATAGATAAATATTGAAATAATAATTAAAAGTTCGTCTATATATATATATATATATATAATATACATGTATATATACATTTTACATCCATCATCTATGTAGTTATTGGTAAGAACCAAGATGGTTGCCAATTTTGTTAAGGAATAACCTAGCTACAAAGATCTTCAGATTCTTATTTACGTACTTTATTCAAGTTTTTAACAAGGGAAAAAAAGAAAAAAAGCAAAGGAAGATCGCTCATTTCGATCACTCTCTGCCCTTTTCAAATGAGTAAGGGTCAAAATACTTTCTTAAAACAAAAAGAAAAAAAAAAGATTTAGTTTCAAGGTTTGTAAGAACTTCATGAAGTTAACTTTTAGATGCAGATGAGGGTTAACAATTTAATGGATGAAAAGGGAACATAGTTATCGGTGAAATAATGATAATGACAGTAAATCATACTTTCAGCATTTATATATATATATATATATATATTGTTACGTTAATATTTATCCATCAATGGATATTATTATTTTCATCGTAAAATATTGATCCGATAATTATAATAAATTAGATAGTTAACCAAAAAATTTTATAATAATTAATGAAATTTAATTGATCTTATCACATCACGTCATTAAATTTTTATATTTAAAGATAATTACTGATAAAAATGTAACCATTGAAAACTCATTCATCTATGTAAAATAAATATAGACAATTATTAAGTAGACCTTGTCACACATATAATACAAATGCCACCCCAACGATTCTTATGTGAAATAGGGTAAACATATTACACGGTTTTGTAGCATATATATTATTCTGAATATTGCCTGATCATTAGCAACAGCGACAATTTTGACTATCTTTAACTATTAATTCTTTGAGTTGGTAATTTTATTAAACTGTTATTACTTGCAGTATAGCCGAATGAATATAATAATATTTATGAATTACTTAACTAAATCTATTGGGACATCAGTTAAGGGAAAGGGCATAATTCAGTGGTTATCTTTAGATAATAGGAACTAAAAGATTGACATTAATGCTATGTTTGGTAGGATGGATAGAAAAGAGGAAGGAAGGAGAAATAAAATATATAGGTGAAGGTAGTAAAATAATTTTTTTTCATATGGTAGAAGAGAAAGAAAAGTGAAAAAAAAAATGTCAAATCTAAGGCATTTTATAATAATACCCCAATGCAAATAAAAATATGATGAATGGTTAAGGTTAAAATTGTTATTTTACATCTCATTTATTTGTCCAACTTTTTTTCTTCTCTTTTCTTTCCAAAGTTGGAAGGATTAAAAATTAGTGGATCCTATGAATTTTCATTTTCCCTTCCTCATTTTCTCTATACCAAACACCTAAAATTCCATTTTTCTCTCTAAAATCTTTCATCTATTTTCTTTCCTCTTTCTTTTCCACCCTACCAAACACACTGTAAATGGAGTTTTGTTTGGAAGTGTTTAGAGGATAGTGAAAACCTTGTTTTTTTTCTCGTGTTTTTTAAAGAGAGAGAGAGATATTGGTTTGTGCAATTTTACTTTTAAAACTCCAATTACATGTTAGTATATCCAGCATGCCTAATTTCTCTTCTCTATGCTTTTTTCTTTTAGCAAATAATTGTGATTAATGGGAGAAAATGTCTAATTTATGAGGACATTTGTGTAACAAATATATAAGTTTGATTTTAATGATTACTTTAATATTTTGATTCGTATTATTGTTTTAATTATGGAATATTAATCTAACAATTGTAATAAATTAAGTAATTTAAAAAAAATATGAAAAGTTCACACCACATCATCAAATTTTTACATTTTATAAACGTAATTATTAAAAACTCGTCTATAAATGTATCTTTGTGGAAAAAAAAAGGCTAACTTTTAACTTTAGGTACTCAAAATTAATACGTAAAAGTGGAATTAAAAAAATAAGTATGGCACTCCATCCCAAAAGCTTAAGCTGTTAGGAGGTGGGCTAACAATAGTTTTATACTTTAACACTCCCCCTCACGTGTGGGCTGGACAATGGGCAATCGTGTGGGTAAATTAATTAGAAAGCCCAACACGTGAATATTTAAGCCCAAGATATATTAAAGACCCAACACATGATGGCAATTTTAAAATGGGGATAAAGAGTGCAATTACGGGGGTTTGAACTCAGGACCTCCCGCTCTGATACCATGTTAGTTTACCAATCCATCCCAAAAACTTAAGCTATTAAGAGATGAGCCAACAATAGTTTTATACTTTAATACATGGCACTCCATCTGGCCATGCACGTGCTCTTGGAGAGTTTAGAAAGAAAACAAAAAAAAAACCATGCAATCTCCACAACTTCTATGCATTTTTAACCTTATCTGCATTTTTTTCTTAAACTTATCTGGAATCCACTTGCTCCTTATACAAACAATAAAAAATTTAAAATAAAATATAACTAATTCACATTAGATGTCAGGCTTTTATTTTTCTTTTTTCCTTCTTAAAAAAGTCCAAGTTTTATGCCACTTTGGCATTTTAATACCCCTAGTTTTGCCCCTCAGAAAACATTACTAAATGGAAACTAGGATGATTTTCAAAACTTTAGTACTTTTCCTATAACCAAAATAAAAAATAAAAAATAAAACGAAATTGCTTGAGAGGAAAAAACAAAGTGAAGCCAAGAGAGATTTGAGAGAGCACAATCTTATATATATATGTGTGTATATAAATTATATATATAAGGACATGGTACATAATACAAAGGGGAATTGCATTAAGGGCAAAGCTTATTGGGCAGTGACGTCTACTTCCATTACAGTTGTGCTCATTTATAATTCGGGATCTCTCTCTCTCTCTCTCTCTCCGTTTCTGTTTTTGAGTGCTGTGTTGGGACGTTGTTGGACAAGAAACAAACTGTCTCTCTTCTTGTAACTGCTGAAGCTAATTCTAGTAATTCTCGGATGTGTGAGTTTCTGAGATTAAAATTCCTTTATTCCTTCCTCCAATATAGTTGGAGGGTCTTATCAGAATTATTAGTCGCTTTCTCTTCCTTCACTTTCTCCTTATTCTGCTTCATTTCTTTTATTTCTTTCTCTTTTTTCTCTTCTCTGATCAACTTGGTGGTTTTCTGGGTTTTGGTTATTTAAAATTTTATATAGTTTTTTGGTGGGATTTTTTTTTTTTTCCTTTTGAGCTAAGTATTACTCCCTTTGGTTTTGAATGCTTATATATCAATTACTTCCTATTCCAAGTTTTTATATGTATATGTGTCTCAATAGAAGCAATGAAATTTTCTTATTAGCAGTTGGTGATGGAATTTTGATTTCAAAAAATATTGATGAAGTTTGAAATGGGAAAGTTTAGTGTCAGGTTTGATCAGTGGAAACAAATAATGATTGGATTTTTGGAAGTTTAATCATAATTTTTTTTTTTTTTGGTAATAAGAACTAATATATAGATTCAATTTATGCGTCCCCTTTGTTTATTCTGTTTTTTAGCTTTGTTCTTACTCTATTTTCTAAAATTTTAAAAAAAAAATCCAATGAAATACTGTAATCAAATTATATATATCTTTTTGTATTATATATCATTTTGATAATTTTGTTTCACCAATTAAAGTTATTTCGATCACTTACACTTGTATATGAATCTTCTATCAAATCAGACAAGCTTTCTACAATTTTGGCTAAAATTCAGTGCATGAAAAAGTTCACCTTTTTCCCCCTTGTTCTTGGTATAAGTAGTCCTTATTAAATATATATATTTTATATTTGAAATGAATGTAGTTAGAGACACTTAATCATGGTTGGTGTTTTTTTTTTTTTTTTTTTTAAACTTTTGCAGGCGTTGGACTAAATAATTAATAATCTAAAAGCTAAAATTAAGGAACTGTGGAATTGATCCTTTTGGGAGGCTAAGAATGGCTATGCAAACAATGTACTTCAAAGAACATGAAGGACTTATCCCCAATACCATTGGGCAGTTTTCCTCAATACCAACTGGGCATTGGTGGGGCACTGCCTTTGGATCTCAGTCAGTTCATGGAGACTCTTGTGCCCAACAACTTAAGCCTTTGTCCATGGAACAACCCGGCGGCGGCGACCAATTCATGGCCGCCAAACAGGCTGTAAGAGGCACTGATTTAGGACCAGACAAAGGGAACACAACTCAGTTCACCATCTTTCATGGTAAATCTTCTCAATTCTATCCTTGTTCAGTTGTTCTTGTACATTACTTTTTTTTTTTTTTGGTTAATGTGTATAACTCTCAGAATGGACATAGCATTTAAAAAATAATAAGAATAAAATAAAAAAATGAAATAAAATTAGAGGTCACCATGTAGGATGAAAGTAGCAAGAGAATTAACAAATTTGGTTTGAGAAGACATAAAATGTTTCATTTTCTGATTATTTTTTGATGCAATTCTTCTCTTCTGATTAATACATGAATTAGTGAGTCTAAGAAGTTTTGGAAATATTCAGTTCCCAAGTTAATTAAAGTAACATGACATCTTCATCAAACAATGATCAAAACCAAAGTTTCCTAATATTTCATTAACTTAGCAAAATCTGTCTTGATTATAGATTCTGAATCCTTAGAGAAGTTGTTCAAGTCCCGACTGTGATGAGAATAATATTCTGGGTTATAGATGCTTAGATTATTGAAACTAGATAGTTGTTTTGACCATATATGATTTTACTGAGAACATTAATAAAATGCCCTGTAACTTGCAAAATTAGAAGAATTCTGTAGGATTAAGTTGGAAACTTGCAAAATCAACAATGGATTTTTTTCAAATCTTTATGTATCCTCTGAAGTTTTGGGATTGTCTTGCAAGTGTCAGAAAATTTTCTATATTTTTTAGCTGACTATAAAATTGCGACAAATTGGCTCTTGGTCAGCCCTTTTGCTAATAGAGCAAAGAACTAAATCCTACTGATCACTTGATCATCTTCTTCTTCGAATATTCGTTACCAACTTGATTTGATTATGATCTAAAGAAAAATTGTTCACCAAGATTTCGGTTTAGTGGGAAAAAATATGGTTAATCAGCTGATTTATTTTTCTTGTTCAGGTGATTGTAAGTTCTCAGGAGATGGCCAAAAATCTCAGGCAACCATTTCTCTGCAAACATCTCCGCCAGAATATCATGCTCGTTTCGAGCTGGGATTCAGTCAGCCAATGGTCCGATTTTTTGACGACCCCACTTCTTTTTCATTTTCTCATATGATTTTTTTTTTTTGAACTACTGATTGCTTATTGTTGTTCTTGTTCGTGGACTAAAACTGTAGGTTTGTGCCAAATATCCATACATTGATCAATACTGCGGAGTCATCTCTTATGGACAGCAAATTTCGGTTCGTCTTCCATCTCCTTTTAGCTTGTTAATTTTCAAGAAACAAAAGTTGTTGCATTTACAACATTTCTGTGAAGAAAAACTTAGAAAATGTAAGGAAGTATAATATCTTTGCTAGATTTAGGAAATCTTAGTTCAGGCCTAATTTGGATTAGTTTTTAGGAAGTATATTATATCTGTCAATGGCAAAGGTGTAAACATGTTAAAGCTCTTATCGTAGCCCAAGAAATTCAGGTCCATTTTGTTCAGGATTAAGACTTTAGAACAAATTGTAGAACATGGAAGAAAGAGGATTCAATAATGAAAAATTTGAAGTCAGATTTTTCAGTAGGAACTGACAAAATCAATGTTCCTTTTAAGCACAGTTGTGGAAATAGATTTACTGATTCACATCTTGTAACTTCTTGCAATGCACCAGGGTCGCATTATGCTGCCACTGAATTTGACAGCAGATGAGGGACCAATCTATGTCAATGCTAAGCAGTACCATGGAATCATCAGGCGCCGCCAGTCCCGTGCAAAGGCAGCAGTTCTGCTGAATAAGATACAAAGACCCCGCAAGGTATGATACGTTGGGCAGCTCTCTTGAGTTTAAGATGAAACACAGGATGTGTCAAATACAAAGCTATTATTAGTTCAAAGGTGTTTGAATTGGAAGCTTGTTGTTAGGCCTGACCTCGAGGAAAATTAAAATCTTGGCCAAACTGTTTGAATATGAGAATTGAAATTTCATTACTTGTCACGTGTGGGCTTGTTGTCTCCTTTGATAGGCCTATATAGGGGATTTGCATTCTCCTCCTTTGTTCAGGCCATGTTGGGTACTTTGTTTGGTCTAGGCGCAAAAAGTGGGAGAAGGTTAGGATGTAACACTATTGTTGGTCAATCTCATAAAAGCTTAAGCATTTGAGAGAATCGGTAAACACAGATAAATTAGACAACAGAAAATTACGAATAAAAGATCTTATGGCATAAATAGCTTCTTTGCATTTACTTGGCTATCTGAAAACTATAATTTGACCACATCTTGATTTTTCACATTCTATCAACTTGGAAACACTTTTGCCAGCTTGGCAAGAGTACCATTGTCTTAAGGCCAATGTTGACATCCTATTAAAAGTATAAGCTTCTAAGTTATCTCATATCCATCCATCCTTTTCTTTTGCAGTCATATATGCACGAATCCCGCCATCTGCACGCGATGCGCAGACCAAGAGGGTGTGGTGGCCGGTTCCTGAACACAAAGAATCTGAACAACAACAACAAAGAGGGAAGTCCTGAGGCCAAGAAACTCGGCAGCGAGCAATTGTTCTCTCAGCCCTCCTCCCGCTCTCCAAGCTCCGTTCTGGAGTCAGAAAGCGGAACTCTGAACTCATCGAAGGAAGCCAACAACAGCAGTGGCCCAAACATCCCAGGATCAGAGGTGACAAGCATGTACACAAGGGGAGATCTTGATCACTTCCAGATGAGTCACCGTCATCATCATCATCTCGGAGTAGCATCTCTCCACCCCCTCACGGGCATGCTTGAGCTTGATGTCATGCCCACCAAATGGAACATTGCGGCGGCTGATCATCATGGCTGCTGCAACATCAAAGTTTGAGAGAGCAAGGGACAAAATGGTGTTTGGTGCTATGCCAAAAATGCCATGTGGTGGCATTATTGGCAAGGCACCCCCATTCCTTGCTCAGGCAAACAAATGGGATAGGAAAATCTAACTTTGCGGTAATCTTAACATGGATTCTGCAAAGGGTGGTTTTCATGGTGTGAGGATTAGTTCCCCCCCGAAAACCGTTTGGTTTGCACTTCAAAATGGCAACTCATTCTTGGCTCATTTGGCTGTCTTAGAACAGCCAGCAAAACCTGCTAGTTACTAGTGCTACTGTGTGTGGATTTGAATAAATGAGTTGAAAGTTTGTGGGTTTGTGGCTGTGTCTTGAGAACAATGTGAATTTAGTGATTAAGACTGAAAGCTCTGGCTCGTAATGGTTGTGGCATTAACAATGTTGTGATTTGGTGTTGTAATTTTAAGTTTAGTACTCTATCTGACGATTTGATGTATTGGACTTATGTAATGCAGAACTCTACTAGTATTTTGTGTCCTCAGCTGTATGAAAGAATAATTATGTGCCCTAATTACTATGAAGTATGATTGCTGTGTTATGTTATGCTCTGCGTCTTCTTCTTCCTTTTTGATGCAGGAAGCTTTAGCTCTAAAGTAGTTTTAATATTTTAATTTTCGTTTGTTTTAACTTATTAATTTGGCTTAGTTAAAACAATTAGACTTCAATATTGGAGAATTTGATTAGAGCTGAGTTTTCTTCCTAATTTTGGGATTTCCCTTGTGAGTATATTTAAGTAGAATTAGACCTTTGAGTCTCATCCTTCATTCAGGTTAGACCTGTAAAATTCTAACTTTATCTATTCCGCTGCATCATTTTATAATCATTTTTGTAAAAGAGATTTTGTTCTATTTTGCTCTTGATGTGCATGATGTTGAACTCTTTCAAGGGTGAAGAATTCATTATTAGGACATTGAAATTGAATGATTTAACTACTTAATCGAATCAGCATGTGCCCAATTTTTTGTTTTCTAGAAAGTAAGTTGTCGTTCAACTAATGAAACGACATGCCGTTGAATTTATGTAATTGAATATTATAGAACCACATTCAAACTTAATGCATTATTAGGACATTCAAATTGAATGAAAGCATGTGCCCAATTTTTTTGGTGGTTGTCTAGAAAGTAAGTTGTCGTTCAACTAACGAAACGACATGCCGTTGAATTTATATAATTGACTATTATAGAACGACATTTTATTTTGTCCTCAAGAAGTTTGCAGCCCTTAAATGGCAAAGACATATTTCTCATATATCTTCTACCGTTAAAATTTAACGCCCTTATATTGTCGTTTGTGGTTTAGAATTACTATGGGGTTTAGGTATCAAAACGACATGTCATTCAAATTTGTAGTTTACAAACCGTTGAATGTTTTATGTCGTTTAAGATTGAAAGGAAAAAAAAAAAAGGTCTTCTATAGGTTAGATGTAGTCTAGATAATGAACAAACATGTCATTAGTATTTGCCGTTTGTCTTTTGAACAGAATAACGTTCGTTTTCAAGTTATAAAGACACCAGTCACCAATGCATTGTAGAAGATTGATGTCGTTTAATACCGTTTTAGCAAAATAAACAGCATTATTGATTTTTCTGTCGTTTTGTCTTTTTGCAAAAGATTTCAAAAAGGCAGAAATTGGAGATGCGGGTTATCGATCCGTACCTCTCGCATGCTAAGCAAAGCACTCTACCATCTGAGCAACATCCCCTTATTTGTTGGGTGGAAGAAATAAACTCATCGTTCATTTCACCAATTTGAGTTTTTAATTTTAGATTTCTGCAGTAAAAAACTCTCAGAAAATATTACATCTAACTTTTTCTACTACAGTGAAAAGCTCTCAGAAAATGTCACATCTCAGCTCGAATTGAAAACTTAAATCCGCGAAGTGAATGAGGCCAAAAATTACTATTTTTTTTCTATTAGCAGTTTACAGCGGTTCAAAATTTGAAAATGGCAAATTGATTATCGTCTAGAAGTTTGAAGCTATCCCACTAAGGCTCTCTTTCCTATGAGAGTTTAAATCAATGTGATTATTTTGATTTTGAAATCAGAATCATAATTTATGTCTTTGAGTTTAATCATGGTTCTGGAATAAGAAAATAAGGGGTTTGAACCACTTAAAACCAAAGGGGAGGTCATTTAAAAACCAGAGATGGTTCTATTTTAAAACATCACATCAGGGTTCAAATTTTGAACAGAGTCATTCAAACTAAACACTAGTTTTAAAATTTTGAGCCAGAACTATTTTTTACTTTTTACAAATAAATAAAGATTTGAACCAGAATCATGATTCTAATTCTAAAACCCTCAAACCAAATGCTACCTAAATAAACAACTATGTTCATATTCTTTGATTATTGGTGTCGCTTCATCACTTGAACGACATGAAATGGAAATCATTTGTCGTCCGAAAGTTTTTACGTCTTTCAACCGAATAGACGTAGAGGTGTAATTTTAGGCTGCCAGCCCGACAGGCCAAAAGAAAACTTCAGACCAGGCTAGCCCGATTCTAAAAGTGAGAAAGTCGGCCCAGTTAGGCCCTAAGCCTAAAAAAATTTAAAGTCGGCTCGGAATGTTATAAGCTATTTTTAAAAAATCTTTAAATTATGATGTTTGGGCCGGCCCAGCCCGACCCTAAAAGAAAGAGTCTGCCTAGTCCGACTCTAAGCCCAAAAAATTTAGAGTCGGATTAGGTCGGGCCCAGGCCAACAATAGTGAATCTCAGACCGATTCATTTAACCCAGCCCAAACTTATAACTTTACGACACATTCGTTATGTCACCTAAGGTCCAAAACGACATATCCTTTGTCGCGTAGAGTATATTATCGTTCAGTTCAATAAACGACTTGTAATTTTTTAAGAGGGGAACGACATGTAAGTGGAAAACGCCAATATTAGTCGTCACTCGTCTTGCAGTGGCAGTTTAGAACCGTTCAACGTAATAACAACAATGTCGTTTCGTGGTTTGACTTACATTTTGATGTCGTCGTATGTTGTCGTTCAACCAAATAAACGACAATTATCTTATCATCTCTGTTTTATCGTTTAACCTTACCACATAAGTGTCGTTGAGCAGGAATTCTTTTTATGAGCATATACAATTCTAAATAATTAGATGTTTGTTAAATTCTTCCTTTTTAATTCAAATAATTACAATATATAAGTGACATTTAAAAGTGTGCTTTTTTTTTTTCCTTATTGTATCTACTACAAAATTAAAAATAAATAATAAATAATAAAAATTTCTTATAAAAGCGAAAGCAAACAAACCTTATCCACGTTATAATTCTCAAGCTATTGGACATTGGTCTAGTACATCTTGTATCGTCCCAACGACCTTACCTTCCAAAAACTCTTCTTCTCCTCGCTCTCTTCCAAGTTCCATCCATGGCCGCCATGGCCGCCACTTCTCCTTCTTCTCTCTGCAACAAAATCTTCATCCCCACTCGTTTCTCATATTCCAAGAATTTTCCTCTCAAACCCCTCACTCTCAAGCCCACCACCCAATTCCCAAACTTCTCTTCTCTCTCTCTCCTCTCTTCTTCTCTCTCCCGTTTCCGACTCTCTTCGGCCTCATTCGACGCCGCTGAGCTCGGAGACGAAGGAACGAACTCCGAGGAAGAAAACCCAGAAGCAGAATCGCCTGAAAATGGACAAGAAGAAGAAAAAGAAGAAGAAGAAGAAGTGGAAGAGACAAAGGCGTTATCTGCAGGGTCTAATGGTGAAGGTGGAAGGCTGTATGTGGGGAATTTGCCCTATTCCATGGATTCTTCACAATTGGCCCAGGTTTTTGGCGAGGCCGGGACTGTCTTTTCTGTTGAGGTTTGACGTTTCTTTGTTTTTTTTTTTTTTCTCCTTTTAATCCTTACACTTGGCCGATTTAATTTTTAATTGTGATTTGATGTGAGAATTTTTTATTAAAATAAAAAAATTAAATATGACTTCGAACTCGAACGGTGAAATCACCGGCCTTTAACAGGTTTGGTCTCTTATTCATATTAAAGACAGATTTTTAAAATTTAACAGAAATATCGGGTAAAAGTTCAAATTTTTTCTAAAAAAAGCAGTAATACTTGTGTTCACTTGTGTTATGTGTATCTAATTTGTAAGTGTTTCCGTAAACAATTCAACTTTTGTGTTACTATATATGCTTTTTCTTTTTTTCATGTCTCTTAAATAGTTTCATGCCACGTTAATTAAATAACAATGTTAATTCTAGATAAAATATCATGTCACATTAAAAGGTAATGTCAGTTAAAATAATGTCCAAATTTTAAGTTAACACGATTGGTTACCTTTGCTACTTTTTAATGTTAATTTTATAGTAAAAACTAAAGCTATTAAAAATATCAAGGATTAATTGGTAAAAAAGAAAAGTTCACTAACCAAACGTTAACAATGCTTGTAATTTAGAGACTGACAACATTAACAACCCTGCTTAATACATTTGGTTTTTTCAAGAAGGTGTTTGTGAATTGTTGTATTTTTGAGTGAATTGTTGTATTTTTGAGTTTTGTTTTAGGTTATATATGATAGAGTTACGGATAGAAGCAGAGGATTTGGGTTTGTTACGATGGGAAGCGTTGAGGAAGCTCAAGAGGCTATTCGACTGTTTGATGGCTCTGTAAGTACCAAATCTTATTAGTATTGCACTTGGGTTTCAGTTTTATTTTCACTTTTAGCTTAAAACAAGATTCTCTATGTATTTCTTTATGTTTTTAGTGCTTGGGTCGTGAAATTATGTGAGAAAAAACACTATAACATAAAAAAGTTGAATTTAAATTTTTGTGAGAGAAAACGCTATAGTAGAAAGTTTAAGTTGTTATTTAAATTGTGAAATGAACGGGGTCATGCATGCATTTTGCTCTTTTGGGTTCTTTTTCTGCTACCATAATTTGATAGACGCAAGCTAGAGATCCTTAGTTCGCGCTGATAATTTAGTCCTATTGCCATGCATACATTGGTGAGGTCCAAGTTTTTAATGAGTTCTTGTTATTAAGATCTATGAAAACAAAAAGGTAATAGCTTTAAGGAATGCTTATCGCGACTTGGTAACTACATCACTAGAATCTACCTTCCCAATGGTGGTTGTTGGCGATAAAAAGTAAAAATTTCTCATAACTACAAAAACATTTGTTTCCTCGTGTCCAAATTACAAAAGCGACTCAAAGATTGTCTACCAAACTTTAAATACAATGATACTAAAACCACAGGGTTAATCTTTTTTTTTCCCCCTCAAATCGGGGGTGAATCTCATTTTGCTTCCTCACATTACCGGTCCACGCAAGTCCTTCCGTCAAGAATCTGTTAAAAAAAAAGGATGGACGATGACATGTGACACTATTTTAAATTCCCACAAAGTGTCACATGACTATTGCATGTCATTTGTTGCATCCACTATTTAATGGATTCTTGACAAAACGACTTTAATGAGAAATTTTATAAATCAAGACCAATTATGGGACTGAATATCAAGGATCAAAATGAGATTCACTCTTAACTTTAGGGACCAAAAATGGGAATAAGCCTGAAGAATATTAACGTGGATTAATACCAGTGATGTTCTTATTAGCGGTTACATTGGTTGACAGCAAGTCGGAGGGAGAACTGTTAAGGTAAACTTCCCTCAAGTGCCAAGAGGAGGAGAAAGGGAAGTACTAGGGCCAAAGATTCGGAACATGAACAAGGGCTATGTAGACAGCCCTCACAAGATATATGCAGGAAACCTTGGTTGGGGCCTTACTTCGCAGGATCTCAGAGATGCTTTTGCTGATCAGCCTGGCGTGTTGAGTGCCAAGGTCATTTACGAGAGGGACACTGGAAGATCTCGAGGGTTCGGATTCGTCTCCTTTGAAACCGCTGAAGCTTCACAGTCTGCCTTAGATGCCATGAATGGAGTTGTGAGCAAAAACTTGGCGTTTGAATATGCAAAGTTTTTTATTTTCTTTTTATTTTAATCTTCTGTCTATAAATTCTTTTCGTTAACTGGTGCTTTTTGTGCTTGTGCGGAAAAACAGGAGGTACAAGGACGGCCGCTGAGATTAAACATGGCCACCGAAAGAGCTCCTCCAGCTTCCCCTCGGACACCACCGGAAGTCGTAACAGAAGGTGTGGATAGTGGTGAATTGCTTGCCGGTATTAGCACATGATGGAAATATGATTGGAGTTGCGTTTTCTTTATGTGTCCATCAAAAAAAGGATATGCACGTGTAATCTTTCCCACAGGGTTGACTCCATGTAATCTTTTCTCTACCACAATTCACAAATTGGAATGAGCAGTTTAAGAGGGTACAAATAAATGCTTATTTTAATTTGTTGTTTCCTCGTTTCCTGTAAGATTTTGACGGTATGTGTTATTGTACATAAGAGCAAAATGCCACTCTTACCCAATTCAAGAACAGGCTAAAACCATGAATGACAATTTCTTTGCATTTTGATAGCTTGCATAATGGCTCTGGTTTTCTTCTGGATCTTTCACTCTCAAAACAAGAGTTCAATTTGCGTCAAAACATGAGACAGAGAATTATTGGTATCTTTAACAATTGAACTTGTAATATTGAGAGTTCTCAATTTCCAAAATTACAAAAATAGAGTCAGTTGGTAAATGAAGTACAAAAATGTGCGACTCAACACAATGCGTCCTCAACAAAAACAAGGGGGGAGAGGAGTATTTTGGGAAAATGGGTAATTGAATATTTCAGACTGTTGGACCTAGTTTACTAAGGACCATGGCCACTGGAAAGAAGGGCATCTGCTGCAGAATCAAGATCCTGAGGGAAGAAAACCCTGCACAACAACATAATTACATGAAGCAAAGTTCGGGTCGTCAAAAAATGATATGAACAGAAACACTATGGTCATAACTGATAAAGATTCTACAATAGATAACATAAGATTTGATTTCGTGGTAAAATATATACTGCTAAACCTAGTAAGGACGAGGCTTCGAGTGATTTTAGACTGCTGCTGAGGACTATTCTCTGCCTCTGGCATGTTAGTTTTAATGAAATCTGGAAAAGTTCTGATAGAAATACCTGCAAGTATTGTGGTATATTGTCCTGCTCAGCTGCTCTATGTCACTGATACCTTTACAACCAGCCACAACTTCAAGAACTTGCCTGAAAGCCGTAGCCATATTATGTAAAGAAGTAATATTGAAATTACAAATAAAATGATAACGTCTCAAAGGATTATGCCAACAAGCACCTGTTAAGGGTATAAATAGTTGTCATGCAGTACATCCCAAGATTAAGCGAGATTTATTGTCAAATGTAAGCATATCGAGAGATAAATAAGCAACAGATCAAATAATGAAAGCTGTAACAGGAAAGATAAGACATTGGGCAAGAACATCAACAAAAATGTAAAATCTTAACCGTGAACGGATTTTTATAAACAGATGTTCTATCCTAGAATTCTCATTTCCAAATGAAAGGATCTGCGCTGAGCACAAAGAATCTCCACTCACCAAACTAAACAAGGTTCATTACGGCCTTTAACAATGCTTTCTTGATCATACTTTTCCTTCTTTTTAGAGGGCCATACAGACTTAACAAACTTAATCCCGGCATGAGTATTCTTAATTTCACAATACGGAGAATCTGTCTCAATCATCATTCTCTCTATAGGAATGTCCCTCACAACATCAAGATTCTCGCTTGTCTTCAAAGAGCAACCATTTACACCTGCTTCGTCCAAAATGGGATAGAAAGAAAAGTGAAATATTCATCTGGGACCTTAAGCACATTACAGATAGTGATTTCTAATTAGAGGTATAATTAAATAACAAATAAGAGACTCCTAAAAAATGTACCTATATACATATTCTTAAAGGAAAGAAGTTTGTCACTGTCTTCTGCAGTATCAGTAAATGAATGGGTCACCCCAGCAGTGAACCTACAGAAAAACAAAGAAAGAAAAAATAAAATAAAATTATACTAAGAGTTATAGAGATATTTGAAATATTTACTCATAAAATTATCAAGAGAGACACGCATCTAACATATTTAGACTTCAATTCTATAATTTGTTGTTTCCACCAAGCTCACCTGTCCTTGTTTCTCTCGACGATTTCACAGAAATCATAAGCGGCTGCACGCATATGTAGAAACATGGGCAGCTTTGTAGCATATGCTAATTCAAACTGCTTCTCAAAGTACCTAGTTTTCACATGCAGGCATTAAGATCTCTGTGTCACATGATTAAACAATATGTAGAATTCATTTATCTGAATGGAAAACATATAATTTGTTCTTATGGACGGTGAATAAACGTACTTCTTTTGAATCTCTGCAGGGCAAAAGTGAAGCCTATCATAGTCCAATCCACATTCACCGATTGCAACCACCTTATGGACGCATTCAAGGAAAACATAAAACGCACATAAATCGAATCATCATATCCATATCTCAAAAATTCCCTCCACAAGCCAAATTACTAAAAATCCCAAAAGAGTATGATCATTCTTCCTTGGTGGTCAAAGTGATAATCCATACCTTCCCTTTCTCTATTCCCTCTTGTGCTAACGACAAAAGAGCTTGAAAATGCTTCTCCGGATCCCCACTCTCTTCAAATTCCTAGGGGAAAAAAAAAATCAAAAGAAGGCATGAATACACGCAACGCTAACTAAACCCACATTGGATGTAGTATATACATTGAAACATTACCAGAAATTAAGAAATTGTTTCTTTTTTCTTAAAACAAAGGTTTTTGGCACTGTTCCCCAAACTATTCACATTGTGACAGTTTTTTCCTTTTTTTTTGGTCCAACTAGTGCATGAAGATTTTTTTTTTTTTTTTTTTCCCACAGGTGTTTGAAGTTTTTTTTTTTTTTTTTTTCCCACAGGTGTTTGAAGTTTTTTTTTTTTTTTTTTTCCCACAGGTGTTTGAAGTTTTTTTTTTTTTTTTTTTCCCACAGGTGTTTGAAGTTTTTTTTTTTTTTTTTTTCCCACAGGTGTTTGAAGTTTTTTTTTTTTTTTTTTTCCCACAGGTGTTTGAAGTTTTTTTTTTTTTTTTTTTGCAACTTTTGGTTGAAAATTTTTTTTTTTTTTTTTTTTTTTTTTTTTTTTTTTTTACAGCCATAGAATCGACAACAACGTTTCTATGTTTAATGGGAGTAACCATGTGTCCATTGGCGATATAGCTTAAAATTTTCCGGAAACAATTACATAAAAGTGCAAAATGTTCGCTTCAATACCTTCAGAACCCTTTGAACATTTTGCACCTCATGTGATTGGTTTTTTGTAAAATTTTAACCCTTAAAAATTACAACATTTTGCACTTCATGTGATTATTTTTGTAGAATTTCAAGTTATCAAGTGAAACTACTTCCATTGAATTTCATAATTCTATGATCAATTTCAGGGCTAAAAGCTAAAACTATACGTCTATCACAAATATTATATTCACTGACAAATTGGCCAAAAAAATAGAGACCAATCTGTTCTTCTTAAAAAGTTCGAGCCTTTAGGCAAAAATAGCACCAAAAATCCCAAAAAAAAATTAATAAATAAAGGAAACTATAATTCCAGGGACGGAAAACCTTGCATCTTGTGGGATGCACACCAACCGTGCAAAAAAGCCTTCCTGCAACAAAATTCCCAATTGAAAAAAAAATCTCATTTCAGCTTCACAAAACCGATTCTATACACAATTCAATCAGAATAATTGGAATAAAGAGAGGGGGGAGGAGAACCATCAGTTTCAGCTATGGCGAGAGCCTCCTTTGATTCTTCGAGTGACCCACCAGTAACCTGCATCCACAAACCTAAAACCTCATCCGAGAGCTAAACTAAACTCTAGCTCTAATCAAATAAATCAAATCCTAATTAATCAATTCTTATACTCAATTAGAAGGAAAATTATGTATATGTATATATATGATGAAATACAATAATGCGATCAACGCCGGCGCTCCAAGCCCTGCTCAGAACGATGGCGATGTCGGACACGTGGCAATGCTTCCCGTGGTAAATCCCTTTGAACATCCCATCTGTTTGCGCGAAATTTTGCAGTGAGAGAGAGAGAAAAGAGGAAGATTTTGTTGAAAGTGAAATGGAGGACGAAGTGTTCGATGAAATGCCTGACCTGTGAAGTTCACTGCTATGTCTGTTTTCAGATAGAGAGAGAGAGAGAGAGAGATATATGTCAGTTTCAGCGTGAGAAGGAATTAACGTTGAAAAGATTATGAGTTTCGTCTTTCTTACCAATCATGCGAATTGTTGTCCCCATGTTCGAGCTGAGAGAGAGAGAGACAGAGAGAAGAGAGAATGTAGAGTGACTGAGAATGAGAACTCTGCAATCTACCAAGTTTTGCTGGGAAACGATTGTCGTTTGTTCCAACAAGAAAGGGATGAAATGACATCCAGAGCAATATCTACATGGGCCCCAGCCCAATACCCATCCGCCCGTGTAACACTTCCTTGACCTTTGTCGTTTGCCTCTGTTACGAGCAGCAATTATCTCACTCTCTGTATTGTTTTTTTCTTTAGAAATTACAGTGAATAACTTGTTTTTAAACTTCCTTAGCCAAAAAAAAAAAAAAAACATTGTTTTTAAACTTGTTTGAAGTAAATAAGATGTTTTAAAATACTCAAAGTAAAATAGCATATGTACTAAAATATAATTTATTTATCACTAAAATAAATTTTATTTTACTTCAAAAAGATTAAATTTATTTTTAATATATATCACTAAAATAAATTTTCTTTTTAATATATTTATGAGATACTTACTTTAAATATTTTAAGACATGCTATTTACTTTCAAAATATTTTAAAAGTCTATTTCTCACTCTTATGATGTGATTTTAATATGATCCAACAGTTAAAAATTAACACTACTAATAAACTAGACTTACAAGAGAAACTTTCCTATTTTATTATTACTTTGCCCTTTTTCTTCTCCACTAACTCTAGCTTATAGTTGCAAGAAAAAAAAAAGATTTTATGGTGTATCAAAAGAAGATTTTTATAATTTGTTTGGTTATTTAATGTAGGTCTTTTAAATTATCTCATCAGATGACATCCAACTCAATTTTAAGCTGTTGAATGCCATTTGATTCTGAATTTAAATTTGAAGTAAACTTGAAATATGAAAATATCCAGAACACAACTTCCCTAATATTTTTCTTTTTTTTTATTTTTACCTCAAATTAATGTAGGATTTAGTGCCTGTTTGGTTTGAGGGTTCTCATGAGGTTTGAACCCAAAAAGAAATCCAAACCCTTGTTTGGTTGTATATTAGTTTTGGGTTTTGGGTTCACTTCAACCCAAAATTAAAGGTTTTATGAAACTTTACCCCTCTCCTCCCTTCACCCTCTCCCCCCAAAGTTGTTTGTTTTAGCCCAAAACACTGTTCACAAAACTAAGTCAAAAGTTCATACCAACTATTTTCACTCACATTTTTAAAAACCCATAGTTTTAATGATATAATCAAATATTAGTTCAAATTTTATTCCATGTTTAGACTTTACACTACTAAACGCAAGTTCAAACTACGGAAAACTCACATATATGTTCAAACCCAAAAGTTCAAAATCACACAATTCAAATATGCGTAGTGAACGGGCCTTAGTCTTAGACCAAAGCTTGGTATGCAATGAAATGAAGTTATATGATAGGGTTAATCCTATTAATGGTTCCTAAATTTTACCCACAATCCCATTTTTGTCCCTAACTTTTAAAATATCCAACAATTGGTCTTTAGGTTTTACTCTGTTTCAATTTTGGTCCTTCTATTAGTTAAGTGTTAATATTTGACGAAATCTTCAGAAATTTGGGACTAAAATTAGAAACATATAAAGTTTAAGGACTAACATAGTACAAAAAACAAAAATTAATTTATAGAGACAGTCCCTAAGGGCCCGTTTATTTCATGTACTCAAAGTCAAATCATTAATTCTGTTATAGTGTTTTCACCTCACAAAAATTTGAATTTTAAATGTTAGAATCAAGAATTATGGTTTGAATATACCTTTAAAACAGACCTTAAATTTTTATTGTTTGAATTTTGGTCTTTAATTTACACATATTCCATCAAATATTTAACTCATAGTTAATGGAAAGACTGAAAACATAGTAAAACCTCAAAGACCACTTGTGGGACGCTTTAAAAGTCACGGACCAAAGTGAGATTGAGGATAAACCTCCTAGACTATTTGTAGGATTAACCTATATGATATTATAACATTCTTTTTCCAGATAAAATCATTTGAATATCATGTATTATAGCAAAATATGCTCTTAGTACTGTGTTTTTCATAATATTAAAATGGTACATTGACTATTTTTAAAAACATCTTCTTGGTACTCTGAAACTAATTTTTAGTACATATAACTAAACTATCATTCTTATTAATTAAATAGAAATAAGTATTTTAAAAAATATATATGAAAATATTGTACAACATTATAATATTTAAAAGAAAACAATGAAATAAAAAATAAATAAATAATTTCATGATTTTTTTTTTAGATTTGATAGTTTTTGTTTAATTAAATAAAATGATACTATGGTCATTTTACATCTCAAAATTTAATTTTAAAGTACTAAGAATATATTTTTAAAAACGTCGAGATACCATTTTAATATTATCAAATACATAAAATATTAAAAGTACGTTTTACTATAACACATGATACTAAAATAATTTTATCTATTCTTTCAATTGAACTTGGAAACCATTTTTCTAACAAGTTGATAAGGACCCCAAAAACAATACAAAAAACAAGCACCGAGAAGAAACTGAAACACAACAAAAATAATGTTGAAAATCAATCAAATTCCCTCAAAGAAAAATGAGTATACAAGGAACGAGTCAATATCGACTACACAAGTAACCACCAGCGTAATAATGAGATAAAAACCGAGCCAAACAAAACTCTAATAAATAATTACAAAAAGAAAAAGAAAGTGGAAAATAATTCAAGCAAAAAAGAAAAAAAGAATAAGCAGGCTAAGGAACAATAATTAATTATTTATTTACTTAATAATTACGGTGGAGGGGGTTCACTTTGAGCAGTCATGTTCCCGGAATTCCCAGAACTCCCAGAATTTCCACTTCCGCCCCAATCCCACGGCTTCAAGCTGAGAATGACGACCAAGGCGATGATCAGCAACAAGATGATGGCGTAGCAGGTCCACTTGCGGGTGTTCTTCTGGTACGCGCGGGCACCCTGGAGCCGATCTGCGCCTGACCTGACGAACGAATTGGCCCTCGCCACGTGGCTCTCGATGTCGTCGAGCTGCTCTCCCTGCGCCTCGACCAGAACCGCCATGTCCAGGAACACCTGGTGAAGCTCCTTGAGATTCTTCTCCATCTCCTTCACCGCGTCGTGCCGCTCTTGAATCTCCTTTATCGTGTCAAGAACTCTCCCTCTTCCTTGCTCTTGGATCGCCTTCTGCAAGAACGTCTCGCTCTCTCCTGATCGATCGAAACCAAAAGCAACGATTCAACAAAATTTCTTGAAATTGGATAAATTTTGAGCTTTGTTCATGAGATTTCTGGAAACGGAGGAAATTTTCCTTGAAATTCGATAATTTTGAGATCTATGAGTTCAAACCAGTGGAAATTTTCCTTGAATTTTGATAAATTTCGAGCTCTATGAGGAATTGATTCCTCGAACGAGAGGAAAATTTTTTAGTTTCGATGAACTTTGAGCTGTATGAGGAATCCGTTCCTCAAACCAGAATAAATTTCCTTGAGTTTTCGAGGAAATTTGAGCTCTATGATTAATCGATTCCTCAAATTAGAAGAAAACTTGCTTAAATTTTCAATAAAATTTGAGGAAAATTTCCTTGAACATTGATAAATATTGAGCTCTATGAGTAATCTTAGAGGTGAATTTTCTTGAATTTCGATAAATTTTGAGCTCTGTAAATGAGATTTCTCGAACCAGAGGAAATTTTTCATAAACGTAGGATGATTTTAAACTCCGATCCAGATGAAAACTTATTAGTCTTGTTGTTGTTCGTTACCTGTGGAGATGAGGAGGTCGATGGTTTTCTCGTCGGGATTCTCGCCGGTGACGGTGAAGTACCGCCGCTGGACGGTGTCTCTGTATTCCGACGAGATCTGTTGGCGGAGAGAGTTGAAGCTCTCCATGGAGTCCTTGAGCTTCTTCCTGAGGCCGTTGACGACGGAGGTGCGAGTCCGGTCGGAGGAGGACCCTGGTCCGCAGCCAGGCAAGCTCCGGTTGGCGGCGTTGGAGCGGTCGAGAGCCTCGAGGCGGACCTTGATCAGCTTCGCCTTCTTCAGCGCGAGGCTGACGTCGGCGTCCATGCGCGATCGGAGATCCTTGATCGCTTTGGCGTTGTGGAGAGTCTTGCTCTGCTGGTGAGACGCGTTGAGATTCTCGTGGAGCCTCTCCAGTTCCTTGAGCTCGTCCTTGACCGACTCCACATCTTCAAAAAACTTGTCGAGGTTGACTCCTCCGGTGGCAACCGCCGCCGAGGAGGCGGAGGACATCTCGATCACGTGGTGGTCCGGCGAGGCGTCCTCGTTCCGGAACCTGGAGAACGAGCGGGAGAACAAGTCGTTCATGGCGGAAATTCGAAGAAGAAGAAAACGAAGGAAAACACCAGAATCGATTAATTCGACGGTTGGATCGAGAGAGAATAATTGAATGAGAAATTAATGGAGATTGGAGAGTTGTTGGGGGGTTTTGATGAGGAGAGAAGGAGAGAAGCAGAGACAGAGAGAGAGAGAGAGGGAAAGTGGTGTTTGGGAGATAAGAAAATTTGTAGCGGTCAAGACCGGTAACAGAGACGGGGTCGTCGTTAACTAGTCAAAGGATATTGGTGAGGTAGGAAGAGAGGTGGCTGTGGATTTTATTGATCGGCACTTTCCGGGAAAGTGAATGAAAGGGTGGGAAAGAAAAAACACACGAATACGAGTGAAAAATGCTTAAATAGAAAGTTCCCTCCATGTTGACTGGGCGTACGCGGGGAAGAGAAGAACTAGGGGTTTTTTCATCTCTCTCTATTTTCTTTTTAAGTTTTAAATGGGAAGAATTTTGTTATAAGATACCAAAAAAAAAAAAAAAAAAATTTCTATTAATAAAATACTATTTTGATTTTTTTTTTAACTACAATTTAAATTTTTTTTAACCGAACTTTCACTCCAAAAAATTTTCAATTTTCTATTTAAATATTTTAATTCGCTATAGACATTATTTTATCATATTGTCTTCTACTTTTCTTCTTGATAGGTTATTCATATCATTATTCTTCTCCAAATGATAGATTGTTATCGAGGGAAAAGGAAATCCTTTGAAAAATTAGTTCGTGAATAGTTAAATGGGAGACTTTTGATTTTCGGAGTTATCTGCTTACATATTTTCGCAATTTGTTATTTGCATTCATTAATTGCGGCCATTTGGTAACATTGATTAAGAAAACACAAACACAGGTGAAAGGCATATTGTTTTTTTTTTTCAAATTTTCCCTGTCAAATCAAAGGGATGGACATAAAAAAAAAAAGAATCAGTGTTTATTAGGAGTCGGTTCTTTGTAAGAATCAGGAATTCCTCTTCCAACTTGTCCCGGAATGGGCGTCATGGCAAATAACAAGACGAAAACAAAAGGAGAAATTTGTCCCATAGTAACAAATGGAGCCTCCACAGGTTGACATCCGATCCAACCTAGTAGTAAGCAATCCGCCAAAAGTTGATATCAAGCTCTTTTCCTTTTATCACGGTAATCACCTAGCCGAGCCTGTGTTACTAAAAGATAGTTCAAGTAGTAATGGCGGTCTCCTGTCTGTGGTAGTCAAGCATGTCTGTGGCTTGACGGAAGTTGATCGGATCATCTTCCATCACTCCAATATCTACCTCATGTTCTTGGAGAAATACAATGTAGTCATCTGGCACCGCACTTCTCCTTTCTCTAGTGGACCTCCTTAATGGCATAGGTTCTTGAGGTGGTAGAGTTTGTTCTTCTGGAACAACGTCTTGTATGGGAGGTTCTCTGACATTGTCTTGATTTGTTGTGTCTTGAACAAGGTCAGAAATGAGATCCTGATCAATGTCAATAGCACATGTGGGAATATCAACATATTCCTCTTCGAAGACAAAGTCCCTAACTGTATCTCCCCCGGTAAACTCGACATCCTCAAAGAACCGGGCATTTCCCGACTCAAAAATCGACTTAGTCATGGGATCATAAAACTTGTACCCCCTCGATCTTTCAGAGTATCCAATAAAATAGCAACTCACCGTCCTTGAGTCCAGTTTCTTTTCATTAGGCCTATAAGGCTTTGTCTCAGCTGGACATCCCCAAACATGCAAATGCTTTAAACTGGGCTTCTTGCCCGTCCAAAGCTCGTAAGGGGTTTTGGCAGTCGTTTTAGTTGGAATCTTGTTAAGGATATATGCTGCAGTCTTAAGCGCTTCTCCCCAGAGTGATTCTGGTAAGGTTGAATGACAAATCATACTCCTCACCATGTCCTTAAGCATCCTATTTCGTCTTTCAGCAACACCATTCATAGTGGGTGAACCCGGCATAGTGTATTGTGGGACGATACTGCATTCCTCTAGGAACTTAGCAAACGACCCTGGACGTTATTCACCTGAACCGTCATATATACCATAGTATTCACCACCACGGTCAGATCTGACACTTTTGATTCTTTTGCTGAGTTGGTTCTCAACTTTAGCCTTATAATTTTTTAACACATCCAGTGACTGTGACTTTTCATGAATGAGATATATGTAGCCATATCTAGAAAAATCGTCTATGAACGTTATAAAATATTGTTGACCATTCCAAGCAACCATAGGGAATGGCCCACAAATGTCCGTATGTATAAGTTCTAAGACGTCCAAAGTCCTGTTGGTTTCAAATCTCCTTTTATTGGTTTGTTTCTCTTTTATACAGTTAACACAAACATCAAAATCTGTAAAATCTAAGGGGTCTAGAATTTTGTCTGACACAAGTCTCTCTATTCTCCGTCTGGAGATATGACCTAATCTTTTGTGCCATAACGCAGGCGAATTCTCACTGGTTAATTTTCTCTTTATACCTCGTGTACTTAATTGCAGGGATTCATTAAATGAAGCAATTGTATCAATTAAATAAAGATTATCATAACCTGACAAAGAACCAGAACCAATAAATTTTGAATCATGAAACAAATTAAATTTTTCATTCCTAAATGAACAAGAATAACCAGATTTGTCCAAATCAGAAATAGAAATCAAATTCCGTCTAAAAGACAGTACAAGAAATGTCTCATCAAGATCCAAATAAAATCCAGTTTTTAATAATAATCTAAATTTTCCTATTACTTCAATTTGAACCTTTTTGCCATCGCCCACATAGATTTATCTTTCACCATCACTTGGCTTTCGGCAACTCAAGCAACCCTGTATAGACACACTGATGCACCAGAATCTTAGCACGCCATGCGTGATAGTTGGTGTAATGCTTCTTCATATGCCCTTCAACTCCACAGAAGTAACAACCTGTACCTTCCGGTTCAACAGGTTTCTTTTGTTGTTTCTTCTGAGGTGTTGTATATGCAGCTTCCTTCTTCCTTTTCTTTCCCTTGGCCTTGTCCTTAGAGGTTGAGGCCAGGTGAGCACTTTCTGCCTTATCTTGCTTCAGCCTTTCCTTTTCCTGAACACAGTGTGATATGAGCTCATTCAAAGACCAAGTCTCTTTCTGACAGTTGTAGCTCACCTTAAATTGGTTAAACTGTGCCGGAAGGGCTATCAAAACCAGATGCACCAGCAAGTCCTTAGAGAGTTCAAGCTTAAGTGCTTTCAACTTTGAAGCAAGATGAGACATCTCTAGGATGTACTCCTTGATATTGCCTTTGCCCCTATACCTCATTGAAATTAGACTTGTCAAGAGCGTACCTATTTTAGCTTTTTCGTTCTTGACAAACCTTTTTTCAATGTCCGCAAGGAACTCTTTAGCCGTAGTAATCTTATCAGACATTGTGCCCCTGAATGCTTCCGGAATGGCTTTCTTCATGATCATCATACATATGCGATTTGATTTCTCCCACCTTTCCATATCCCTCTTTTCATCAGAGGTACTCTTATCCGTAAGAGGTGGAGGAGAATCAACCCTTAACGCAAGGTCGAGATCCATGACTCCGAGAAATATTAACAGGTTCTCTTGTCATGACTTAAAGTTAGAGCCATTCAGCATAGGAATAGAGTTGATGTTGGCAATAATATTAGCAGGAGTCATAGCTAAACAGAGAACAACAAACAAACAAACAAAACAAGCTCACATAAGTCCCAAAACAAAAATTAAATTAAAATAAAGGTAAACCCCATCTCAAGCTACCGGGCACTCCATTAACATTTCATCTTTGGACAAAATGTTAACTTGTACGTGATATCTTGGTGTAGTAATCAATCACTGATAATAAGAACACGCCAAACAATAAATCTTCCTTTGGGCCGATTTATTGTTCACATGTAAAACTGAATAATTATCACGCGTTTATTACCATAGGTGCACATGTAATTCTGTTAAATATTGACCTTCCTTTGGGCCGATCAATATTCACATAAGTTATATATACACAACTGTTTATATTCCAAAACAAATTAATTTCCACAAGAGAGGTCACTTTGGTAACATGTTGCTTCAATTAATTCATCTCAAAATATATAAAATCATACCAATATCTGAATTTAAAATTGCACAAAAAAAATTAAAATTAAGAAAAAAAAAAATTTGGTCAAAGTCAACGGTCAACATTGACCGGTCAAAGTCAATGGTCAAATGTTGACCGGGTCAGGCTGGACCAGGTCGGGTAAACCCAACCCGGATCCTAAACCAGCCTTGCCCTTTATACCGCAGGGTTATTTGTGGTAACCCTTTCCTTTGTGGGTCACATTCTATTCTTAAAGGCGCGGGGCCCTTTTCCTTTTTTTTTTTTTTATATATGGCTGCAGGCTTACTTAAGCCACTAGCCCAATTTGGGCCCGTGGTTCCCATAATGGCCAGAAGGCCTATTCCTTTTTTTTTAATAATAAAACTGCAGGCTTGGCCTGCAGCCAAGCTTTAAGTCATGGGGCCATGCACTGCAACCCTAGGGGTCACGACAATTGCAACCCAGACCTTCCAGGCAGCCAAACAGCCGCCATATTCCTGTCCTACTCCGGTGCGACCCGACGGCCACAACCGAAAGTCGCCAACTCCGACGACGGCAAAGGTTGCCGCCGGCTCAACACTTAATTCCTTAAACCATGATCTTCAATATATGTATATACACGAACCCAAACTATAAACAATTCACCGAATCCACTGTATATATATAAATTTATATTTGTTCCTGAGGTTATTAACAGAAATCCATAATACATATGAATTTTTATATATATTCCAAAATTCATTTGACCAAAAATCTCTTATGGCCGAAAACAACAATCTAAAACAAAAATAATTCGTAATCTCAATGATTCAACATGAAAAGGCTTTGACACCACTTGTTAGAAATTAATGATTTAGTGAAAACCATCACCCAAAAGCCAAGAACATTCATGTTAGATCATCAAGAATTAATAAATCTGTAAGCGGAAGCGTACCTAAATCCATATTGCTTGATTTCTCTCTAGAGTCGTATAATTTGTCTTCCAAATCAATACGTTTTCCTAGAGAACCCTTTAACTTTCTCTCTGTACTCTTTCTGATGATGGGATGTCAGAATGAATGAAATGATACATGTGATCTGGGGACCATAACTGACATATATTGATAACTTCCCTGTTATCTTTTGGTATTTCTATTTTAGCCCATCATAAAAATAGAAATTACCCTTAAGTCTCTACACATTAAAGGCCCACACCCTATTAGATACAATAAAGTCCAAAATACCTAAACCTTAATAGATCACTTTTAATTAGGCTTAACCTTATATGACAGCCCGCAACACATAATTATTCACATATAAGCCTAACGTTGGATTAAGGATCCAACATATATGACTAATAAGTTATTCATTCCACATCCCTTCGTTTCATATATTCTAAAGTTTTAAACCTTAAACTTGAAGCTTCTTTTCTTCTTGATGGAAAATATTGAAGTTCCGTATTCTTTTATCCGCCCAATTTCCCTCAAAACCATGAAAGATCCGGTAGTCGCCATAACGGCATAACCGGAATAACCTAAGACAAAAAGAGCATTGAGCATTGGCTATCTACCTCCAAGAACACCACTTGCCCCGTCACCAAACAGCCCTTGCCATTATCAAACTCCGATGATCACTTGATCCCAAATCACGTTCTCCGTCGTCTGAACGAGGCTTGGTGCTCGGGGAATTTGTCGAATGGCGTCGACAGGATTACGACGCCGAAGCTGCCATTGGACAAAACTCAAATCCTTAAGCTTCTCAAAGACTTACGGGGTGATCATCATCAGCTAAAAGCCATCAAACGGTTGAAAACTCTCGCTGCGGAGAGCGATAGAAATGAGAAGTTCATGGTCGAAACAGGTGTTCCAAAGGCCGTTTTCTCGTTCGTTGTTAAATATTGTTTTATGAGGAACCAAACAAAAGGGCTTTTATAGGCTTTGAGCATACTTCAGAACATAATTCTGATCAATAACAACGTAAATTTTTCTTCGATATTAACAGACCAAAATCTTATCAAGAACGAACGTATTTTGGATGCCCTAACGTGGGGCACCAACTTCGAGAATCAAAATCAAGTCAAAATCCATGCAGTTTTGGTCCTGAATATTGGATTTTTCCCTTTAACTTCGGTAACCAACAGAAGATTTTGCACCGAATGTGGTCCATATTCTTCCATCAATTAGAAACATGCTTAACCACCTTCAGAATCACGACCCCTTGATGTCCACGTCTGGTGCACGTCCAAGAAACACTCTATAATGTGCAAAGTGTACACAATTTTAGTCTCCTAAGCCTATAGTCTCTTTCAGTTATCAAAATACACCATCAAACAGAGATTGAGTAAGATTTAGAAGAACCTTAACCGAATTTCTCCTTTACTGACCGAGAACATCAATGGCGGGAAGTGCTCTTCATTCTGTTTCTTTTAATTCCGCATTTGATCTAATTGCTATTTAGGATTATTAAGACCATGTTTAGATCATTAAGAAATTTCAACATTTGGTATCAGAGCCTTAGTTTGCCTCTGCCTTGTTTTTTCTTTTCTTCGTTCTATCAAAATACCGTAAGAAGAAAATTTTAGAGATTATGATTTAGACGTTTATGATGAAAACTGAGATGAGGAATCATTAGGAAATCAAATTTCTATCAATTCTGTGTTTTAAACATAAATTTTGGTCGTCAGAATCGAGAGAAAAAAGGTGTTTCATTTTGGGTTGAAACTGGGTCGAAAACGACCCAGCTGGAGGTTGAAGACGATTCAACAGTGCAAAAAATAAAAAAATGACATCTCATTTCGCCTTTTGGCTTATAAAACTACATGTCATTTTCTGTTGAAGACATGCACATGCAACTGCCAAAACGACATGTCATTTTCATTTGGCTAGGAAAACGACACTTCGTTTTTAGTTAAAGAAAATCAGAAACAACAGGAAGAAACTACATGTCGTTTTGCCTTTTGGCTTATAAAACGACATGTCATTTTCTCTCAAAGACATGGGCAAGCCACTGCCAAAACGACATGTCATTTTCATTTGGCTAGGAAAATGACACGTCATTTTTAGTTAAAGAAAGGCGTAAGCATTAAGAAGAAACTACATGTCGTTTTGCCTTTTGATTTATAAAACGACATGTCATTTTGAATGAAGAAAAACTGCTCTCATTTTAGAAAAATGACGTGTCATTTTTCATTGAGAACATTGGAAAACTTATCATTTCTTATGGACTTTTGCCACATATCACCAAACGACTTGCCATTTGATGAAGGTAAAAAAAATCAGAAATTAAGTATATAGGGGTATTTTGTAGATGTTTGCCCATTTTATGATTTTTATGAAATTTTCATGAATTAGGTATCTAAATGAAAGGTTCATTGATTTTAATGGCTTTTAATGAATTTAATTTTGGATAATTATGTGCTTACATTATTTATTTCATGTATAATTTATTATTTTAATTATACATGCAATATTAGGTTGAATAATATTGGTACATTAATATTCAAATATTTTAGGTTAATATTGCATATAGTTTCATGTAGTTAAATATGAACCTTTATTATGATTTATTAATGTTAATTAGTCCATATAATTTTAATTAATTAGAGACTAGCCACAACATCTTTAATTATTTAAAATTATATATTAAATATTTCAGGATTACATTATGACATTAGTTGCAATTAATCATATGTAATATAATAGATTTTATCCCACAGGAATTTTTATTATATTTGTATGATTAATTAGGATAGAATATCAAATTAAATTTCTTAATTTACAAACAGGTATTAGGAAATAAAGCATAATTTGATAGTTTTATCATAAGGTTATAGATGGATATAATTGGATTAGAACTTTGGCCCACAGACAAGTTTTACGTCTCTAGATTCATAGAACATGATTTACATTGGTAGAACATGATATAAGTTATAAGTCTCAAATTTTAATTATAAGCATGTATGTTTTATTTTTATGCAGTCTTGCAACCTACGAATTTCTCTGATATGAAATTTGACATTCCTAAACTGAGGGGTGATAACTATAGGTTTGGAAGGAGATAGTTCTTCTTCATTTGGGGTGGATGGACATTGATTATGCCATAAAGAAAGATGAACCAATCATTACTCCGACCAGCACTCCAGAAGAAATTGCTCTTTATGAATGTTAGGAGCGATCCAATCACCTTAGTGTGATGTTCATAAAGACCAAGATCTCTGCTGGTATTCGTGGTTCCGTCGATCAGCATGACAAAGTCAAAGCATTTCATGAACAATTTGAGTGTTCAGATAAGGCACTTGCTAGCACCCTAATTATGAAGTTTTCATCCCTGAAGCTCACTACTGTGAAAAGTGTGTGTGGGCACATCATGCAGATGAGGGACATTGCGGCTTAATTGAAGACACTTGAGGTTGAAATGTCTAACTCTTTCCTTGTGCACTATATTCTGAATACTCTCCCACATCAATATGGACCCTTCAAGATATCCTACAACACACGTAAGGATA